CAGGTATTAAATAGACATTAATTCTACAGTACTGTACACTGTACTGTACAGTATACAGTATATGCCGGTATTTATTGATTTAAAATTGTATTTTTTAAATAAAATAGTGACACAAATGTTAATCAAGAAGTGATTGCTATTAATACTCAACTCAACCCCACAACACATACAGACATACAATCGACGACAACAGCACCTCATGATAGTGATCAAGAAGTCACTGACCAGTCGTTGTCACTCATTTCAAGCAGTAGTGATGTAATGCCTGACCATTCAATGGACAGGAATCCATCGCCCAGTACTTCAATTGATAACAAAAGTCCACCAAAAGCTAAGCCTAACAAAGAGTATGTGTTTTAAAGTGATTTAAAGTTTGATTTATAATTAAATTAATTTGTTATTTAAATTTGAACTCAGAAAACGGAGACCTATTGCCTACTCTGGGTTTATGCGGTCTGACGGCTACTTGTGTTCCGATTCCGATGACGACAGACCAGATTTGCAGTCATTCGACGGTTTACTGCATTATATGTCCAGTCGTTTAGTGAGCAATACTAGGAGTCCATCACCAGTTATACCACCAGTGAGTGATACCACGAGTGCTTCGCCGGTCAGTAAGCGTTCTTTCAGTGATGGCGAGTGTGGTCTGATAGAGAGTATAGAGATAATTGAGAATTTAGTTCTCAATAGTTTTATATTGAATATAGAGACAGAATTAGAGTAACAATTTAATTAGGATTGAATCCCATTATATAATATTAGACTAATATGATATAGGCTATTTAAATCTAAATTATTATAGAACCCATATTTTGAATCCACAGAATCCATCTTATTTTGATCCTTCCGGTGATGCCTACGTGTGCGCCCAGGGATGACAACTTGACAGCAATCTGAGCGCCGATTCCCGACGACGAGCCTATCAATGAATTTATAAAACACACAAATTTAATCAAGTTAAACAATATTTGTGAGCCTAAACTTTAAAGGATATTAACGTGTGATGAAATTGACTCCGGGCTAAACTATAACAACTCGAATATATCATTTGAAATCTTTCAAATTATTTTTTGAATTAAAAATCTATGAATATTATATGAATTATTGACATTTGAGTCAAATTATTAAGTAAGTATAAAAATTGTTAAAGTTACTTTGATCATATAAAAGTTTTATCATAAAACGCGTATTTATATATAGGGGAATAGAATATTGTTGTTCCTGGCTATAATTTAAATTTCTCCGGAATGGAATATTTTCAAAAGCGGTTTGTTTTATTGAATAGCCTAATAATGTGATGATTTTGTGCACAAAAAATAATTTTTTAATTCTGACGCTTTCTATTTAATTTCGGGACCATCTCCGGGACACGTTTTCCCGTCACTTCCGGTGACCACAT